TTACAGGCTCTGTGTTTACCGTACAGGGAACAAAGTCAGCCAATTAGCTAAGCAGGGAATTTTCAGCAGTCAGCATATGGAGCAAGTGGGTGCTTAAGACTGGCTGATAGCAAATGCTACAGAGGGGGATGTGTCTGAAATCTTCCATCTTTCCTGGATTTAGGAGCGTTAAGTCAGGGATTCAGTCTAAAACCCCTCCCAGTCTTGGACACCTTACTCACGCTGGCAGGTGTCAGTTGTGCTCAGGCACTTCTCTCGCAGACAAATTTCCAAATGTCTTTACTTTGACTCAACTGCCACCTCATATTTTTGACATTAGCAAAATGGGACAGGTTCTCCTTTTAGCCAGAAAGTGAGCTGAGCCCAGGAAACAGCTCCTGAATATTGGTGTAATTCTGTTAAAGTCAGTGACATTATTCTTATAGGAAACCCCACCTCTGATCTCCAACTTTCTGTATGGACAGCACTGAACAGAATATATGGGAACATATTTCCATTCCAGCTGGCAGTGCTGGACTCCTTTCCAATTCTGAGATGTTGGGGCAGGAATACATGGATCCTCTAGCTCTTCCCTGCTTCATGGCATTACTCTTCTCCATGGTGGTGAGAGGCAGTGATGCCTCAGAGGGGTGAAAGTCTATGGGCAGAAAGCAGGAATTGCTGTTGTCTCTGAAACTGTAATATAGTTTTCCTAGCAAATGGTGCTTGCCTGCTAAAAGTCTTGACTGGCAGGGTCACAAGATAAATAATTCTTATGAAGAGAAGAATAACTGTAGTTTGCTGAGGTTCCCCTGGTTCTTCTAATCATTTGGCTGCTGGACTGACATGCATTTCTTCTGCCCTTCAACTTTGACTGTTCCTTCACCTAAATGGAAAATTCCCAGAGAAGTCATGTTAGCCAAGACCAAATTTGCAGTTGCTGACATTTGTTTCTTGTTCAAATAGTAGAGAGATCCTGAGCAATTTGACATGTGGGAGCACAGACCAAAGTCTTCCACTTAAACAACAAGTACATTTGCTTTCTGACTGAAATGTTAAGTGAGGACTGTGCTACAGCCCTTTAAAACCTGATTTGTTTCAGACAAGAAATGAGTTGGTTCTGGGATCTTGGCAATTAAATATCGAGTACTGTGAGCTTGATTTTTCACTCAACTGTCTCCAGTGTAACTAAATTACAGAGCTGTTGAGAGTTAAACACTGGTTTAAATCATCTGTGAAGAATCACCCCTCAGATAAAAAGCTACTTTCTCCCTCTTGTTCCCATCAGATATGTTCTTCTTTGCCTGCCCTAAACACTTGCATAAGGTTGGCAGTCATCTCTATTTCTAGCTATAAAATTCCAGAAAAAACAAAACTCCACCTTCAAGTGTGATTTGGCACATAAGCTAAAACCATGCCTAGGAAAGCTGTATGCACAACCCTCAGCTCATCTGATAAGCAGGACAGTGGATTTTGCCCTTTTTTGGTTCCTCGTGGTTTATGGGTCTTGGGTGTACAGGGCTCTGATTACTTGGCCAAGCACTGGAGTCTTTGTCATCAGCCTGAGTAAGATTTTGTGGAAAAGTGACATAATGAGTTGGGCACCAATTAGATTTGCATTGTGCTGGAGATTTCTGAAGAGGTCCGACTGCTCTACTCAACTCTTCTCTCTCCTCTTTCCTCATTACGCTTATACTGTGATTTAATTTGTTCACTCTGCCAATTTCCTCTACTTTTTGTGCAGGATATTTGTGCTTTTGTTGCCACCTCCTACTGTTTCTCCACTTGGTGGTTCTTCCACACACAGGACAAGGCTGTCTCTGTTGTCTCTCTTTGCACAGCACTGAAGGCATAAGGGTCCTGGGTATCATCACCGTGCGAGCACTCAGTAACAACAGAGCAGTGACCATCCTGATTTTGTTCACACCAGAACATAGGCAGGAAAGGCTGGCTAATAGCTACACACATCTTTTAGATGTGTATTTTCCCTGTTTACATGTGACAGTTTCTGTCTTTAATTTATTTCAGATTATTTTTTTCTTTTCTGTCTGAATGACAATTTTATTGATTTATTGTGGCATCGAGTTCCAAAATATGAAATGAGAGGTGGGTAGTACTTATGAAGAGACAAATGGAGAGTCCCAGGATTAAAATATAAGTGTATTAACTAACTTTTAAGGGGGATGAGCAACCTGATGCTCTCAAGACATCATCTGTGTGTTGTTCACATATGCCACTTCTCAGACTAAAGGTTATGTTTGCCTGGTACCCTGTCTCTGGCATGGGATAGTCAGGGATAGAAACATAGAATCAGAGAATGGTTTGGGTGGGAAGGGACCCCTAGAGGTCACCCAGCCCAACCCCCCTGCAGGGAGCAGGGACACCTTGAACCAGATCAGGTTGCTCACAGCCCCGGCCAACCTGGCCTTGAATGTTTCCAAGGTTCCCAGGGATGGGGTCTCCACCACCTCTCTGGGCAACCCATTCCAGTGTTTCATGACCTTCATTGTAAAGAATTTCTTCCTTAGATCCAGTCTAAACCTACCCTGGTTTAGTTTACAACCATGACCCTTTGTCCTGTCACAGCTGGCCCTACTAAAAAGATTTTCCCCATCTTTCCTATAGGCTCTCTTTAAGTACTGAAAGGCTGCAATCAGGTCTCCCCACAGACACTTAGAGGAGACTGTAGAAATCAGGGAAGCAATCTGAAGCCTATTTTCCTAGCTTCTAGAAATTTTCCTTTGAGGGATTCTTTCTCACCTTATCAGTACTGGTACAGAGGTTGTTTGGTCACCCAGATTCTAATTGTAGGAAGAAGTGAGTAAAGAAAGAGTTTCCTGTGGACACAGCTGAATATCTAGGCAGCTCCATCCCACAGGTGTCAATTTGGGATACATGGAAACTCTTGTAAACTATTTATAGAGCTCTGCTTTCCCTGGCTCCCTGAGTTGTGTGATATACGCCCTGTGTCTTTGGCATCTGTTTGGTAGGACCAGAGAAGCTGGTCACTTAAGATCTTCAAATCCCAGAGACTGCTGGCAGTAAATAAAAAAAATTCACTGAACAGAATACAACTAACATCAATTGTACCGTATATTAAAATCCAACCACATACCATGTTTGGCTAAATCTGACTTTTGATTTGTCTGTCACGTGGTTCCTCATTGAAGTCCCACTGTAACTAGAAGGGTAAAAGCAATAATTAATTTGTTCCCAGTTCTTTGCTTTTTCCTTTTTCCCTGGTGTGGTTCTGTTGTGGAAATGTTTTATAAAACAGAAGGAAATAAAATTGATTATATAGAAAATCAAGAACACATGATGTCTAGAAAGACTAAGAACTTGGGGATGACAGGCTGCAGACGTCTGGATTCTTATTTTAAAAGTCTTCAGCTTTTTATTTGATCCATCTTTTGAAAGCCGAATATATTTTAAAACCCCTTATTGACTGCCTAATATTATCCAGGTGTGTATTTGATTTTATCTTAACACCGACATACTGTCCAAGTGAAAAAGCCTTGAATTAATTTAAGTACAATTTAGAAGTTGACACCACAGCATTAAAGTACGAAGAGGGAGAAAAAAGAGGCGGCAGAGATGTAGGCTGATTTTAAATACTCATCTTTCAAGACTTGTGCCTGGGGACTTAGTTTCTGACTCTGGATCAGATTTGGTGTAGTTTGAAGTGAGAGCAAACCCCCTGATTTGCAGATAAAGGTACCAACAGCCGTGAAACCAGGCAGAGATCTGCTAACACAGGGGTTAATCTGAGGCATGTATACAAGTCCCGCTGCGATAGAACCAGAGGCGGTCAGACCTTTTGCTCGGAAAGACACTCTGGCACTGCTGGGAGATTCATTTTGTCTGCAAAATCAAGCATGTAATTTCCCTTCTCCCTTGCTCTCCCCTTCTGTCTGTGTCTCCAGCCAGCGCTGTGTCCCAGCAGCACCAGCCAGTCTCCCTGGTGACAACCAGGACAGCCGACCTTCAGCAGGGTGGTGGGAGATACCCTTTCGCTACAGGATGTGGGCTAGGAAGCCTCTAAAATTGGCTTTTTTTTCCTGACGGTCAGAAGGAGTGTGGGACAGCAAGCCTGGGCAAACCCTGAGATACCTCTGTGCTTGAATGAAAAATAGTGAAGAAATTATGTAAATTAGTAAAATTGAAAAAAAAAAAAAAGAAAAAACACCCAACCCCACCAAATCATCTGCCTCTCAGCATCCAAACTGCATCCATAGAAAGCTTCCAGCTTGCCTGCAGTGTTAGGTCAGATTTACACGGTGGTCACAGAGATTAAAACTGATCCCTACCATCAGTTAACTCCAGCTTCTGCGAGCCTGTGTAAATACATGTGTTCGTCCGTGCAGCCGTCAGGCTCGGCATCAGAAACAAGTCTAAGTCTTCACAGAGCCAGCAGCAGAGACATTTCTACCCATTTTCAAATGAAACAGAGGTGCTTAAGTCTCTAGAGCGTGGATTTAGTTGTCAGCTTTATTTACAACTTTCGGATGTTATCTGCTGCCGGTGAAGCTGAGCGTGAATAACTTACCAGCCTGCACAGATAACTTTGCTTTTTGTTTCAGTCCAGCTCGAAACAGAAATCCAGTAAAAGCTTTCATTCCAATCCATGTGCTGAATGGTGATACAGCAGTTAAAGAAGTGAGGGTAAAATTCCTGAGGCACTCCTAAAGACTTTTCCAAGAATTTTAAAAAGCCTCTTAAAAACGGCAGCAGAGATCGAACGCTGTTAAGGGAGGGGGAAAAAAAAAGGGAAGAAAAAACTTTGGCAGGCATACAGTGTCTTACATCAATCTAGCAGTCAGCATCTATGTAGATGTTCTTTCCTCCTTTTGTGCAACACCCCTTCCCTCCTACAGACCACCCAAAGCCCTATAAATAATCCAAGGACTGTATTTTTTCTCCAGATTTCTCTTCAGACCTCAAAGGAAAAATATCAGGCAAAGGAAGGGAGAGAGGGAGAAGGGAAAGTGAGGAGGGGAGAGAGAGAGAGAGAGGGGGGAAAGATGGCTAGTGAATTCAAAAAGAAAATGTTCTGGAGAGCAGTGGTGGCTGAGTTCCTTGCCATGAGCCTTTTTATTTTTATCAGCATTGGCTCGGCTCTGGGTTTTAGCTTCCCAGTGGTGGGCAACAAAACGTCAACAAGGTCTCAGGACAATGTGAAGGTTTCTCTGGCTTTTGGGTTATCCATCGCTACTATGGCACAAAGTGTGGGCCACATCAGCGGTGCACACCTGAACCCAGCTGTGACCCTGGGCCTCCTCCTGAGCTGCCAGATCAGCATCTTCAAGGCATTCATGTACATCGTCGCTCAGTGCCTGGGGGCAGTGGTGGCCACAGCCATTCTGTCGGGAATCACCTCCTCTCTCCCAAACAACCTCCTGGGGCTCAACTCGGTAAGTAGAAACTTTCAATTCCTCCTTCTTTTTTTTTTTTTTTTTTGAGTAGAAATGTAACACCTGTAATGTACTAAAGATGTCAACGGAATGCCTGTAATCTACTAAAGATGTGTGTGTCGGGGGTCTGGTGGTGATGGTGGTGGTGATGGTGACCTCAGGCAGCCAATTGCTTATTGTAGTAAGGGATCCAGTCCTGACTGATACCAGGATGGACCTATGTCATAGGGACAGTCCTTCCTCCCCACCCATTTCGGAGCTTTAGGACATTATGGTCGTGATTAGTTTTGCTTATGCTCAGTTTTGCACACCCAGGTTGCTGAAAGGTGCCTTTTGACACCAGTTGAACACTGAAATCACTGGCAGTTGCATGATCAAGTCCCTTCCGTGGTTCTGAAGGTCTCGGGCAGCATGCTGATTAATGTGCATATACCGACGCTGTTTTCGCTTCTGTGAATGTGGTTCTTTTTCAATCCCTAATTAATGGTTTGTGTAACCTGATGATGACTGCAATGAAAACCTATGGGAACAGCGTGAGAGCTATGTAGCAAGAGAAACCCTATCACCAAAGGTGTGAGCACTACCTGTTGCATTAGGCAGAGTGCTCAGATCCCAGCTGCACTTTCTGTGTGGTTCTCCTTTTGCCGTGCCCTCAATTCTCAGGTGTAAACTGGAGAAAGATGTGAGGCAGTGACATTTAACAGGGGTGCAGGTTTCAGCCCTCTGCCATCCAGGTGCTCACATCATGCTGCATCAGAACCTACCTGGCAAAAACTCCTCCTCCTCAAAATCTTGTCGTTTTACTGTTGGCGTCGTACCATAACAGGAGAAAAAAGGATAGACACACTTTTAAACTTGAAATCATCACACCGTTAGAGGATGTGCTACAGCCACTGCAGTAGACAAAGTGCTATAAATGGAAATTGCCTTCTAGTCACTTATTTCACCTGATTCTGTTGAGAACAAGTATTTCACATCTTTTGTATGGCCCCTTCCTTGCAGAATATTCCTGACTGCAGTTTGAAACTTATGAGCATTTGAAATCTTATGCCCATTTGAAATCTTATGGCCATTTGAAGTCACAGGGATATTTGGGACATAAAGCTGCAAATGCAATATCTCTTCAGAAATCATTTAGGCAAAAGTTGAGGAAAGGATCAAAAAAATTAAATTAGCGAATAAAGTAATATGTTTTTGCATGTTGTGTCATTACAGTTAATTCAGAAAATGAGGCAGGTTTTGAAAACATAATAAAATCTGATATTAAGAAAGTGATTCCTGAGCAGCTTAGTAACATCCACCCTCATTTTACTCTGTGGGTTGGCTGCTTACCTCCCTTGAGCCTGATGCCTTGCAGGTATTTCATCGTGCCACCGTTTCAGAAATTTTGATGGGTTAATCCAAAACATTTTGGGGAAGAAGAGCGAATCATTTTATTAGCTCCAGAAGGCTCTGGCTGTGTGTGTGATACATGATCTTTTCCTCTGAAACCACTGGCAGAGGGAACTGCTCGACCGCATGGGACAGGGTATCCGCCCAAGTGGTTTCCTCGAGAGGTCCAACTGCCATTAAACACGGGAGGTCTGGTTTCAGTAGCACTTACATTTGTTCTTCCCCTTTTGCTTACCACAAAATGCCGATGGCTGACTCCTTTCTGAATCTCTCCATTTGTAAAGGGAGTGTAGATGATCACCCCAGACTCTTCTTGCTCCTCACTCAGTAACTCTCCAAGCTACAGAGCTGTAATTCAGAGCTCTGCACAAGGACATCTGAGAAGAGCCTATGGGGACAGATGGAAAAATCAGGAAAGATCAGGAAAGATCGGTGCAGTCACTGATTTTAGTGAGCTTAGCAGGCTCCTTCATGAACCTCAACAATTGCATGTTAGGGTGGAAGCCTTGTTCCCCCTCCAGGAACACCTCTGGAATACAATAAAATACATTGTTTTCACGGCCATCACTGTAGGCAAAACCAGATAGTGTGAGTCTCCATCATGCCTATCTTAAAAACCTGGTAACACTTTCTGTGTATGAATTAATGGATAAAATCATTCCTAAACACTGTGAAAAGCCCTGGTCTCAGTGCTTGTCATTTTCAAATATTCAGAATTTTGATTTTTTATTTTCCCTTTCACATTCAGTTATAAATGTTCTGGCTGGAGGAGCAGTGGGGAGACCTCCGAGGGGATGGGGAGGGCAGCAGCTGTTCTTCTCCCTTGCAAGAAAGAACTAGAGAGGAAAGCAAATCCATTCATTTCCCACTGACAAGATGGGACTGTCTGGGGAGGGGAGGTGAGGACTGGGGAGGGGCAGACTGGTCTGAGCCCAGGGTGGGGGAGAATGGCAGAATGGCTGTCCTTGTGCAGAGCCGGTCACAACACCGAAAACCACACTGAAACCACAACCCAGCACCAAGGTCATGCTGCATTCTTCAGCAACGAGATGATAAGGACAAACCACAGAGATTTCCTTTTATGTCATGCTTTTTAACCTGAAGACATGGAGGGGAGGGACACAGCTGGCATCCCAACCAGCTGCTTTGTCTTCCTGCCCTTCCTGTGGAAAACGAGGTGTAGATTCACTATCAAGCAAAAGAATAGGCAGAAAGGGAGTGCTGTTTGTTTGACAAGGTTGGGAAGAGGACTTGGATGTGCACCAATGTGTCCTCTGTTCTGACCCTGCTGTACCCCTGGAGGGGCGTTTTTTACAGGAAAAATGTGGTGGGAGCAGTTTAATGGAGTCAGTGGCTATCTAGTGTCTCCAGTGGATACTGGGCAGGATTGCATGCCTGAACTTAGGTTCATCCTGCCCAGCTGTATGTAGGTCCTGCACTGAGGGGCCAAGTGAGGAGCCCATTTCCATAGGTTCCTCTCTAGTTCACGGAGAAGGAGAGTGGGAGCAGTTTAAGGGAGTCGGTGGCTATCCAGTGTCTCCAGTGGATACTGGGCAGGATTGCATGCCTGAACTTAGGTTCATCCTGCCCAGCTGTATGTAGGTCCTGCACTGAGGGGCCAAGTGAGGAGCCCATTTCCATAGGTTCCTCTCTAGTTCACGGAGAAGGAGAGACAAAGAGAGGCACTTCAGCCTTTAGCTCCATTGAGTTGCCCTCCAGAGGCAGCCAGCTCTTCTTTGGCATGATGAGGCTCCAGACTTGGGAACCTCTGTTAAGTATCCAAAATGAAGTGGGATGAATCTGTGCCTTTCTCATTGCCCAAAGGGAAATAGGGAAACACAAGCAAATGAAGCACAAAACCCAACCATGTAAGGTGCAAGGCTGAAGAGAAGGAAGGGAGAATGAAAAAGGAGGATGCTCCTTTAATGTGTTCAGTATAAAGGTCTGGTTTGTACCCAGACAGACAAAAGAGTCACATATGAAGAGTTTGATTCAAACTTTGCTGAAGGCAGTGGAAATATTTTTAGCTACTTTGGCTGGTTCCGAATAAGGCATTCTGGACTGTATTCAGAGAGGTATTTAGATTGCTGAATCCTTTTAAGACACTTAACTTCCCATATATTTTAGTAGTGGTGTGGGTGCCAGAGCAAAAACTTTGAGAATTGGAAAATCTGAAAGAGGAGTATGCAGTGTGTTTGTTGTTCTAAGAATTTAAATATTTTTCCTTACATCACCTTGTATCTTTTTTTGGCAATGGTATTACTACATGCTACAAATTTCCATTAGGTATATCTGCAAGAATAGAGAATACCTAACCCAAAGTGCACTCAATCTGCCAGCATAGCTGGCTGTTGTCTAGTGAGGACAGATCTGTAGTTTGGATAATGGAAGAAGCTATTCATCACAGGCTGTTAATGACTAACAAAGAGCTCGAGCAGGAAAGGCGGGTGAGAGGAGCCTTCTGTACTGTAAGGTAACACAATATTTGTGGTTCAGCGAAGATTAGCTTGAGAACTTTTATCAAGCTTTTAAAAACATGCTGAAAAAAATTTCTTTAGCTCAGTTTTTTAATTTTTTTTTTTTTTTTTTTTTTTTTTTGAAAAAAAAAAAAATTTTGAAAATTTTAAAAACATGCTGAAAAAAATTTTTTTAGCTCAGTTTTTTATTTTTTTTTTTTTTTTTTTTTTTTTGTGAAAAGAAACAGAGTTTGTGAAAAACACAGACACTGCTTTACAATTTCATAACATCTGTATTTTGGCATACTGACTAGAGCACCAGGAAATGTGCCCCCTAATTCTCGGTGCTACAATTTGGAAACTATTTGAAAACTTGAAGTTTATGATGAAAGATATTATTTTCAAAGTTATAAGCAGATCAAAAACTGTAGGCAAGGAAAACAGACTTGGATGTAAATGTTGGTCAGGGTAGATAAAGAGAGAAGAAAAACAACCAAGAATAACAAATAGAAGGATTTAGTTTTAAAAAACACACAGTGATAAAAGTTGTTTGTGTGACTGAAAAACTTTCCAGAAAAGCCAGAAGTGATCTGTGGTCAGTGGATTCGGGGTTCTGAAACATTTTCTTAAGACAGGTAAATTGTCATGTAGATATCAGTCCTGGAGTGTGGAAAGTCACTTGTTGCTGGAACACCCTTTGGATTCCCAGTGCGATTGGCTGTGTCTCTGCCACTACTGCTTGGCAAAGTTGGATCAGCTGTGCCAGAAGAACTGGTGTACATAAGGGTGCAACGTCCTTTGGTGATAAACACACAGTGGCCAACTCCAAATCCTTTCTCAAAGACAGGGAGAAAGAAGCCCTTTGCTGTCCTTGATTCTTCATACCAGGGCAGTGTCTGCTGCTTGGAGACACCTTCCACCCTCATCAAAGTCACACAATGAGTCCCTTTTCCATAAGTAATCCCACTTAGCTGGATTGCAGTCCAGCAGCAGAGCAGCTTTGAACTCCTGTGTTGGATTTGGCTTTTTTTCCCTGCTATGTGTCCCCCAGCTCCAGACTTATTCTGCTACGTGGGAAAGCTGAAGTCTGGACAATCACTCGCCTCCAGGAGACTGGAGCATAAGATGGGGCATATGTGGATCCTTAGCTTC